TTTACGGCACTCGCAACTACATAAGGTCGTATGAGCGTCAGAAGATTAGAGGTGTTACGTAGAATTCTCTGCAAGAGAGTAACAGACATAAAAAAGAAGAAGGGAAGATAAGGACGATAGATGTTTGATAGGAAAGAAGAAGCAAACCACACCAGAGCACCCGCCAACCACCCACTAACTTAGTTATTCTTAAAGAAGTTTCGATTGCTTCCTTTATCTGAAATTTCAAAAGACAGATAACAACATGATATTATGTCTGCATTGACTCTGAAATACAAAGATTTTTGTGTTTTTCATTTGTGTATGAATGTGCCACTACATTCTTTGATCTGCTTTCGGACATGGAATTTTATTTATGTGTGCGTTATTTAAGCCCGTAAAGAGTCAATGCATACGTAGTCATGTACATGTACTTTTTTGTATTATCAGAGTCAGTTTGGGGACAAAGAACTAGTGTGAACTTCGAATAATACGCCTATTGCAAAACAATATTGTGATAGATTCCGGAGTCTCACACAACTTCCCCATGTTATTGAATTGGTCAAGCCCGTCCAGTACACCTTCCTGACGTGATCTCTGTACTTGGTACATGTACCGTACACTGTAACTGGGTTCAAACTCAGTTCCAATGCTACATGATCATTTGAGAGTCAAGACATCCGATTTAGCGCCCCTTTCAATTTCCGATAGCCATTTTTTAAGAGGGGGAGGGGTGACTCTTCAGACAACAACAAGAATAAAAGCACCGACGGGAATTCGAACCACGGTCATATGTAACAGAGTCCAACAGCCGATGATACCAACTGCGATATGACGGTGTGTCCGTCACAGTTATTCGATCACAGCTCTTGCCGATACATGTCTACATCTTTGTTTGTCTTGAAAGAAAGAAAAAGTAAGTAATATATATTACATGTAGCCTACCAATGACGAAGGGGTGGGGCTGGTGGTGGGGGGAGACTCCTCGCCCAGTGTGTTGTCAACAATTTTAATGCTTTTCATCGCCTGTATGACCTCTATTATTTAAGTGTTCCTTCTTGAGTTTGTTTCTACAATTTTAAGCTAACCCTACTATCTCACTTCTCGCGCATTTTAATACTCTCTTTTGCGGTCAAAAAGTTATAATAACGATTGAATTGGTGCGAATGTTATTGGGCCAGAGAGAGATGCCTGATCATCCCCTCGTTTGGGGTCTCCGTCATTTGGAGAAAAACCAATATTGCAAAGAGATGCAATAATATTATCATGTGCATTACAAAGAGGTAATTCGTCACCGATTCTTCCTGGAAATTTGGCACCCCTCCAAAAAACCTTAAAAAAACAAACAAAACAACAACAACAACAACAACAACAACAACAAAAACAACAACTAAACAACAGCAACAACAACAAAAAAACACACCCCCAAACAAGCCAAAAAAACCCACCAAAAACCCCCACCTCTATTCAGACCTCCGAAAAAAAAATCTCACGTTTTCAACATGTCTAGCCTCCTCCTAGGGATGGTCCGAAAGTTTACGACAGACGCCCAGCTGCCATAACGCCCCTGAGGTATTGCACCCCTTCCTTGGTATTTCTGATTTTTAAAATATGTATTAAGCGTACCATTTATTTAGGGTTATAAATAGCTGCTCATTTTCAGGAGCTAATGCCACTGAATTTGTTTGTTTTAGTAAGGTTTTACGACGCTCGCAACTGCATAAGGTCATATATTATATATTATGAGAGCCAAAGGGTGGGTGTCAACAGCTAGCAGAGAAGTCCAAACGTGGAATCAGGCTTACTCTGCTCACCTATCTAGCCTCAACAGCACAAAATCTGCTTCGACTGTGTCAAGGCACCCCGGAGCAGTTCACAAGAGAGTGACAAAAATACAAAAGAAGAAGAGGAAAAGTGACGATAGTAAGGATGAGAAAAGAAAAGGCAGCAGTCCCCTTAATTGTTGTTTCGGCATAGTATTAGTATTAGTATTAACATGCTGACATTGATAAATCAGCCCTTTTACAATTCTACTGTGCATCCTTTTGCAAACGGCCCAAAAGACAACTCCAGTCAGTAGCACTGCCCTGGTACGGGACGCCATTAAATTACCCCATGGAAAGAGTTGAAAAAGGAAATAGCCCTGTGTCCAGTCAGCCACCTGACAAAGGAATAAAGAAGTGGGCTGGTTTGTATAATTTTGGGGGGTTTTTTGGTTGTCTTTTTGTTTTTTTCGGATTTGATTTTTGTTTTGTTTTGTGTGGTGCGAGTTTAATCAAGCCTAATTACTACTAATAAATGGTTTTGTCATTAAGTATGACAAGTATATTAAGCTACTTTCGACTCGAACGACAATTTATGGCATGGATCTTTACTTTCTTATTTTCCGAGCGTCTTGGGCGGGATATAATGGTAGGCTAATATAATACATTATGTACGTTAGCTACATGTCATACACCCCATGTTAACGTAATTGTCACAATGAAACCGTATTATCATTTTTACGCTGCCGTCGTTCTTACAGACGTTGCTTGAGGGTTCTGTGGCCTTCTTGATGTCTAGGTGTTCGCCTCTCATTCAATAGGTCATGGGTTCGAATCCAGATAGCGACGGAAATTTTTGTTCGATAAAATTATCTCCTTTCACCTCCTTTCCTGCTCTCTAGCAATGTTCTATCGTCTGATTTCGTTTCTACATTTTCTGCCCCCACCACACCACCTCCTCCGCCCCTCCTCGAGTGGGCTCTCTTAAATTGTTGCAGCCTCTTTCTACTGCTACTCCGGGCTTGGTCCCTTCTTACTATAGGCCTACTGTCTTTCAACTTTCAGCCACATCTCTGATCTTATGGTAGGAAATATTTACACCTAGCCTTCTCGGGCAAGGCGAAAAATCTCGGAGGTCTTGTGTACATGTTGCCCATGTTAAATTGAAGATCCCTACTGGCGGTCCAAAAAATCGATAAGAATAGGCTTAGGCCGACACTCGGGCAAAATTCAAAATTTTCTACCAACTGAAAATGTTTTAAACTTTAAACTAATGTGTCCGGCGTGCTCAAATGACCGTATGCAGTTGGGAGCGCCGTAAAACACTTACCAATAAAAAAAAAGGGGGGGGGGGAGTAAGACGTTAAATTGCTATTGTTAGCCTACTCACCAAGCAACACAAGTTCCTCCGGTGGACCAGTCATTGAAACTAACAATTTGGGTAATAAAAACTGAACTAACCCAACAACTGAGAAGAAGAAGAAGAAGAAGAAGAAGAAGAAGAAGAAGAAGAAGAAGAAGAAG